TTTCTGTGTTGCATGTTTTCGTGCCGCCTTGTGTGTGCTGCCTCCCCTTAAGGGCACCCAAACCTTTGGTACCCTGAATTTTCAGGAGTCCTATGCACCAACGTGTGTTTTGAATGCCTAAAGATGTCCCAGGAATCCTTGGACATCCTTATGCTGGTGATTGGGTATGATCTCTCAACCCTTGTTTTCTCATGGAGGCCAAGATGGCACATCTTTTTCCACGCCTCATAGCCATTCCATCGCACAGCTAATTTACATACACAGTCACCCTCACCTGAGGGTGAGATGGTTTGTAGTGAGCTGTGGGGGAACTACTGGCTGGCAGAATCAACATTTGGAATTTTATTCTGCCCATATTGTCCAAGTAGCTGGCAGCCAAACACTCAAATGAGATCTGTAACCTTCCCTCAATATGCTGTTTAATCCCCTCCTTAAAGTCCCCTGAAAGTAATGATGAAGGAAGCATAGAAGTTAAGGATTATTGCAGAAATGTGTTGGGATTGAAAAACAAATGGATGTTGTATGAAGGAAAGAGAAAGCAACTTCAGCTTTGAACCAGGGACTGTTTGCATGTTAGGCAAACATGATAACCACTACACCCCAGAAACCAGTTGCTGGTGTGTTTTGGGCCCTTTTCTAAAGCTTTCTGTGTAGCCAGGACACCAGACAGTTTCCCTTTGGAAAACAAAAAAACAGAGGGTCATCTGATAAGTAGTAATATTTTATGTGGTACCAAAATGATGAGGAATTTAATTTATGCTCAAAAAAGCACACGTGCAAAGAGCTGCCAAAAATAAACATTCACTGGGCAGATATTATCCAGAATGTAAACCTGGGTCATTTCTCCAAAGAGGTTGCTGGTAGAGAATCTGATGGATGTGAACATAAGAACGAACGGAGAGGGAGAAGGATCAGTCTCAGAAAATTACTGTCTTCCAAAGGCAGCTGATATGTCACCAACTCAAGTGATCCAAAGTAGCACAATCCTATCAGCCCAAAGACTCACATTTAACTCAATTGATTCGAATCAAGACCTTATTAACCAGAAATGTATCTTGGTCTGCACAGTGCATTTAGTGATAATTACTGTGGCCGGGATAGGATTTCAGAGATGCTATATAGGCTACTGAGAGCTGCTTACACTAAACTCTCAATAAACACAACGAACTTTGGTGAGGGCTGTGTGGGAGTGGTATAAGATTTTGTTCCAAGTAAATAATCAGTGGCAGAGAACTCAGATCATGGTAATTTTATAACTAAAATTCTGATAACTAAAGAACACATGCTAAGATTTGTACCAGAAATAGGAAGGAATATTGTGCTATGTGGTCTTCTAAGCTTACTGTGATCTAGTCCTAAAATTTGTTAGCCAATGGGTGAGTAGGTTAAATTGAAACACATGTGACTCAAGGGATCTAGCTGTATTTTCCAAATGTCTAAATTTATAATCTGTTATTAAATAAGAGCAGACAGTAATACTGCTGTTCTGGGAAAGATTCTGAACAGCTGTCCCAATCTGTTGCACTGACAGTCTCTCCTGGGATTATAAGTTGTATACCTTTGCTTTAGCTTCCATTGCAGTATGATTGAACAAATAATAGTAGGGTGAGATATACTCTTTAAGTTTACCTGTTAGGATTTTTTATGCTTTTCAAGAATAAATGTTGAAATCTAGCTCGGCTCAGTTTCCTTGGAAGACCAATATAATACCTGTGTAAGAAAATATATTAAAACAAGGGATCGTTAACAAGGAGCAATGTTTACAATATTTAATATGAAATCAAACAACCATGTATTAATTAGTAATACAAGAATTAAAAAAAAAATTAAGATCAGAGTTTTAGAAATCTGCAGCACTCCAAAAATATCTGTTAAAAGAATCTTTTTCTTTTTTACCTTAAGCCATTAACACCTATGTAAACATTATTAGACATCTTCAGAGGGGTAGCTGAGTTACTCTGAAACAGGAAAAACTTATAACAGCCAATGGTCTGGTAGCACTTTAAAGATTAACAAAACATGTAGATGGTATCTTGAGCTTTCGTGGGCACAACCCACTTCTTTGGATGACTGGAGTGTTGGGTCTCCAGAACCAAGAACATCCAACACTCCAGTCATCTGAAGAAGTGGGCTGTGCCCACAAAAGCTCATGATACCATCTACATTTTTTGTAAGTCTTTAAAGTGCTTCCAGACTACTTGTTTTTATTTGAAATGTAATCATGCAAATGTCCTGGCACATACCCACCCCATGCAGCCTCTTCCCTCCTCCCAACCTATCTAGAGAAAAAGGACTGCAGCAAGTGAGTCAGGCTCTCCCCCAAAAGCCCCCCCCCCATTTCTACCTCACTGCACAGATGCTAGCACCCACCACTAACAAATCACTGGGTACAAGCTTCTCTCTGCTGTTAGACTTTACTACTACTATTTAGTGCTTCTCACTGCATCTCAGATTGCTTCTCAGTCTTTTTTTTAATATGTTTATCCATAGCACCCCTGCAAAGTTGGCAGGTTTTTAGAAACCCTATTTTTACAGAAAGGTAACTGATGCACAGAAAGGCTAAGTGATTTGCCCACGGTGATATAAGAAGTCTTTGGTGGGGCTGAAAATTTAAATTTGAGTCTCCTAAGTCCTAGGCTAGAACCACTGGACCAAATAACTGGTAAAATAGAATTGGTCAAAATCCCTTTGAAAAAAAGTTGCTGACAGATAGAAATTCACTTCGAGGTGTTAATGATTATAGTCTGGGAAAGCTACTCCAAAACTAGAGAAACAAGACCAGCTTAAAATTGAAACAGCAATATAGTCAATCACATTGCACCCTCTAGAACAGGTGACTGTAAAATGACTCCCCAGATCATTGCCACTTCTACTGTTCAAAATTTCCTGACAAAATCCATTTAAAATTACAAAAAATCTGCAAAGTGGGATATTTCTTACCTTGCTGCGGGAAGTAAACCTCATGTCCTCTTAAATGAAGTGAGGGAGAAAACTCAACAATTCCTTATCCTTAGAACTTTGCTGGTCCTTAAATCTCCCAAAGAACAAAGATTGCTGTTGAAAACTTTTGTCAGCAAATGAGGGAGATTCAAACCCCCACTCCTAATGACACATTATTAAATAAGAAGCTCAAAGGGGCAAATATGTCTCCATGGCTAATGAAATAGATTTATGTGGGAAAATAATATTAGAGGCTTAAAAATAGGGATTAACTAGGTTACTGGCTAGTTATAACATTTAACTTATAGATGAGCAGAGCAAGACCATTTGCAGGGTTACTCCTCTTTGCATGCTTCACAGCCTCTTCAAACAGATTCAAAGTCTGATGAATCAGTTTCTTACAGGAACCCTATTTAAAATTGAGAGAAATAGTTACTGAAATCCAAATCCTAGGAGTAACTTTTAAGGGGAGCTGTATTCCATCACAGCTTTGATAAATGTTTTGATGGAATCCCTGTCAGGCCCATCTAGTCAATCCTCTTCCTTTTCTAGGGTCTGTCAAAAAATAAAAATAAAAAATGAAACACTGAGCCACTAACTTTGTGATGAGGCCTAAATGTCCCAGGACAGTGATAGTCAGTTCTCCTTGGTAGCACATAGGTCTTGAGCAAAAGGGTCTGAGGCCAAGCAGTTTGGTTTCATGTGAATAACACATTATTGTTTAACAAGATTTTCTTGGTGGTCACTTTTTTTGTTTGCTTCTTTATTAAAAAGAACAATGATTCTTTTTAGTTGCATTTCTTAGGTATTTTCCCCTTTGATCTTTTTTATCTGAACATATACAGACATGAACTGTCTACTGAAACTGGTAGTGTACAAGCCATTTAAATTAAACTACTAAACTTTTAGTTTTGGAAAGTCGGGTCTAAAACAATGAATAATATAGAAGTAAAACTAGCTTTCTATAGCTATCCCTTGTAAAATCCTTGAAATAGAAGCTTGAGATTCTGCCTAAATGAAAGACATTTCTCTCCCATGCCACACTGTTATGGCTGAGATCAGTGCGAAATGAGTAAATATTGCTCAGTTTGTCTGTTAATATAATGGAAAGATGTTTTTTGCCTTTCTTAAAGGTGAACTAAAAGTAGTATTTTAAAAAGCAGATAATGAATTCTTTACTGTGGCAAAATAGCATTCCTAAAGAGGCATTCCTAAAGCATTCCTAAAGAAGGCTGCGTGGTCCCATAATTAGAGATAATAACTAGCAGCTGCACCATTTCTGGGTTCTCATTACTTCTGATTCACTCTTTGTGCAGTTTCCTTGAGTGTTAGCCCACTTATTAAGAGGGAGGAAAAAGTAACGAGAAGATCATACTGAAAACTAGAGGTTGTCACTGAAATTTCATATTCAAATGTGAATAAAATGTTCTAAATCCAGACTCGTCTACTGAACTGGCTTGAATTTTTGAGGGTTAGCACCCTTGGTTCCCACTGAACCTGACCGCCCAAAGCTCTGTACCCCAAACTCATTTAGGTGCAAGGATTTTTTTTGTATGCCTACCTCTAGTCAACCAGTTGAGAAAAGATTGGCCATGGAATACTACAAAGTATATAAATCATCACAAGCATAACCATCCGTAATGGTTGATGATAAAGAACTTTAATTTGTACGTGCAGTTTCATCAAAGTCTCCAAAGTGTCCTAAAAAATACCTGTACAGCATCTCTTGTTGGGTAGGTGCTATATTATACCCATGTACAGAACCCAAAATAGAGGGGCAAAGATGATTAGTAACTTGTCACACAATCAGCTAGTGGCAATTATAATGGCATTCAGGAGGCCTCAATCCAGTCACTAGTTATGTCATTTTGTTTTCTTAACCCAGTACTAAAGTGTCTAGTCATAACTGGCTTTTATACTGCAATATAAAATCTGGGCTATTCTCAAAAAGTAGTCATTGGTGTTTGTGGGCAACTTAAATAACTTCTCGTCAGAGAAACAAGGATGTAAATGGACATAAAATGAATTTAAGTTTCTTTCTCCTGTTTTTGAATTACTAGCTTGAACAGATGGAACTTGAAGTTCGAGAGATCCCACCCCAAAGCCGAGGAATGTACAGCAGCAGAATGAGGAGCTACAAACAAGAAATGGGAAAACTTGAAGCAGATTTTGTGAGTTTATTTAGATGTGATAAAAGATGGCATTTAAGAAGAAACTTACCTTAGTGTTACTGTGCAGCATGAAGTAACCACATTCTTCCATTTCCCTGACACACTCCAGGTGGGCAAGCTTTGGGGGTGGCGGTGGGGAGGGGGTAGAGAGTATCCTTAATTCATGCAAGGATGGAAAGAACTCTCATCTCCCTGTCCACAAATGCAAGAATATTTGTGCAGAATTCTTCTATGGGGAGGAACCTCACTAGCTACTTGCTAGTGTATAGTCCTAGCTAAACTGTGCAGACCCCTTGCTCCTACTTTCGTGTATACATACAGGCATGTACACACATTGCTTCTCTCTCTAGCCACGTTCTTCTAACCCGACTTCTTGGCAAGGATTGAGTAACAGACCATCGTTGTTCTACTGGGAGAAGTAACTTAATTTTACACTTAATTTTTAAACTTATGAGACTAGTATGAAGTACTTTATTATCCCTTATAAACTACACTTTTCAGATTAAATGAAATCACTGCATTACTCCCTATTCATGATTTATTTTCCTTTGTTTGGCTAGTCATTAGCTATTTTGCAAATTTGTTATCCTCTGTGAGTTTTAGGTACCAAATGCAAGCTAGCAAGGTTCTCCTGTCTGCTGCTTGTGTTACAGCTTGCAAGCCATTGGTCCTATTTGCTGGAAATAGTGAACAGATGTGTACACACACAATTGCTTCTGAAAGGGCTGGCTGAACACTTCAAAGCCATCTACTATTTCTTTCTGGATATAAATATTACGTGAGACTCAAGTTCATCTCCTCTGAAGTGGATTTTGTCCAAGAAAGATCATGATACTGTAAATATGTTTTTTTTTGTTAGTCTCAGAGGTGCCACAGAGGTGCCACAGGGCTACTCATTTTTAATGTGACACTATAGGGCACCCAGCTTAAAATTCCATAGTATCCTAAGGTTAGAGCACCAAGCTCCAACAGCATGCAATCTAGAGTTGGGGAGAATGAACTTCATTGTCTGTGTTGAGAACCCCCTACTTCCCTTTTGCCTTTTCCCTGTCATGCTCTTAACAGCTAACAGAAGGAAAATTGGCCTTACCATCTTCACAGGGAGAATTTGGAATTAGGTAAAGATGAGGGCACAGTGAGAAAGGACTATCCAATGAAATAATGAAACTGGGTTGCTTGGGGGAAGAGAAGGAATGAAAGCAGGGCCTGTAATAGAGCAACAGAAAATAAATGATGGTAGAGCATGGGTTGAGGATGAGGAAATGCAAACAGCGCAGGGAGAGAAAAGAAAATAGAACAGCTTGAAGTAACTGGAAAATAACAAGTAAGATATTTACTAGAAAAATGGAAGAAAAAAGGAAAGGCTGTAAAAGACAATGAAAACAGCAATAGTCATGATTAGAAGAAATTATGTTGAGAGCCGAACTGTTCAGTTCACTGTCATGCCACTGAGGCTAAGGTGACACAAGCATTCTAGTAAGCAAGGTGGCATTCTAATTCTTTTTTTAGAAGCTGATAGTTTGCACAAATTTTCACTTATGCAGGTGAGATTATTTCAAGTTTACTCTTTACCCAAAGGTGAAGTTTCTGGAAAGTGGTTAGGCTGTGCATTCCAGGCGGCAAGAGGGGGAAATAGGCTATACATTCTTTTAGCTTTTTTGATCTGCACTAAGGGCATAGTGACTGGGGGAAATTATTTGAAAAATTGCATTGAAATGAAAATGTCTTTTCAATGCTCTGATGAAAATCACCTTGACTGAGCTGTGATCTGTTGGTTGTAAGTGTAGTTCACAGCCTAATAAGAGTGTTAGATGACATTTGGAAAATGTGGTTGAAAGTACATGTCTTCTGAAAGAAGTTTTAATTGGGAATGCTGTTGGCAGTTCATGATCACCTTACAGACTCCTATTTTTTGAGGCTTGCTGCTCTTCCAGAAGTAAAATACACACATGAGCTGGCAGACTTAGACATGGTTCTTACGCAATCTGGATCCCATTTATGTTGGCTACTCCTGCTCTTCCTTACTGTGTGAAGGAAAGTGAAGTTTTAAGTAAGCATTTCTCAATCTAGAGCCTAGTATTTCATTTTGAGACTAAACACAGTGGCTTAGACAATTTTTGTCTTAAAAAAACCCAACAACAACCCAGAGATCTTTAAACCAAAGCACAGGTCTGCCTTAATCAATTCTCTTACCATGTTTTGAAATGTCATGATTATAGCTGTGGATAACTCTCTCTTGGCCACTTACCTATGTAATGTAAGTAGAAGGATGTGAAAGCTGATTTAAGACTAATACTGTCTCTTCAAAGTGAATTGCATAAAGCATCTGGATCAGCACTTCTCCTCCTCAAGCTTTAAAATGAATGACATATCTGGGACTGCAAGTTTAGTTTTATACACAGTGTAATGGAAAAAAAACTTTTCTACCAAGTTTTGTCTGCTTGACAGAATCTTGAAGACCTATTCAAGCAGTTATTGAAACCGTTTTGACAACATTCTTAACACTTGAGAGCAGCATGCATTAAGTCTGCAGAATGTTAGCTCCTTTATTTATAAAGGAGAGGGCATTTAGGTTGAGTGATGGCAGATATTATTTTCAGATGGAAAGACCACTTGCGTTTAGTTTGCTGGCCACAGTGGTGAGTGACTATGTTGACTTGGAACCGAATGGTTTTCTTTTCTGTGTCATTGTCATATGGTCACTGGGCATCTCGATGATTCAGTGAAACTTGTATACATTCATAAATACGTCACACTTACTAAGTCTTGAAGTATATGTTGAAACTATATGAATCTTTTAGCCTAGTGCAGTCATACGCTGAAGATGGCTCTAAAAATGGCCTTGCAGAGTTTTGTTTATTGTGCCTCAAGCTAATTTCCAGATCAAATATGAACAGGTCATAAATAGATGATTTTCTTAGCTCAACTTGAGCTTTCAGTTTCTAGCTGTTCTTTCCCACACATCATTGTTATAAAGATCATGCAGTCTGTACACATCTGTGCAGCTTTAAGTTCAGATTATGCTGCTTGCAATCCCCATGCAACTTCCTAGTTTTCAGTCTGGTTGCACAGGTGTAACTGATAGCTCTGTAACTGGAATATATGCTGCCCAAGAAGGAATAGTATCTAACTCTCTCCTGACTGTATTGTCTCTGCAGTACTAATGACATATAAAAGCAATAGATTGTTTGTATTATTATGGTAAGCAGATTCCATGGGACTCTGAAGAGATACAGGTAGCAGATGCAGATGGCACCATGTTCTATTAATCGCATCTCTCAGTGTATGAAATTCCAGCCATTGAGGATCTGATTTCCAATAACGTGATTTGGGTAGTACAGTACCTTATTCCCAGGGGATTCCATTAATTTTCAATAAGTTTCCTTTCTTGTTTAATAGGATACGGTTCATCACGAGTAAGGACATGAGAAGCTAGTCCATGAGAGGGCAACTACATTCAACTTTCCAACTAAAAATAGTCAGTGAACTTATACATAGCCCTTTTATGGGGCTGTGAGTAGCATAGGTAAACTTTAGGTTTTCATAGCTCTCTTAAAATAAATCCCAACTGAATATCAGCTAGGAGTGAGCCTTGAATCCAGACTCTTGTAATGCTAAAGGTAATGTAAAATAGAGTATCACACTGTGGCATGTGCTTGCAGTTTGTGTATGCCAGGGTAAGGGCTCTATCTTGTGGTCAAATGTGGAGTTGCATGCTGCTTATTCTTGCATTTCAGAAAATCTCTGAACTAAAGCTCTGGGACCATCTCAAAGAAACTCTCTCAACCTGAAATCCACTCACCGGGGCCGGCTTTAGGAAGTGTGGGGCCCAATTTGAACAATTTCAACGGGGCCCCGCAGCAGGTTTGGTTGAGGGAACCCCCCCCCCACACACACACACACAAAACGAAACCGCACACAAAAGTTTCAATGGGGGGGCCCAGAAATTTTTTTGGTTGAGGGGGAAACTCCCCCTCCCCGCCCCCCGTCCACACACACAAAATCCCCAGCTACCTCCCCTGCAAAGCCCCGCAGGTAGCTAACACCCCCACCCCCACGGCGCAGGGAGACCTTGTGCTCAGCTCGCACTTCCTGCGGCGCAGGCAGCCTCTGCACTCCTCCTCCGGGGCCAACGCCCCCTCCCACAGCACACCTGGCACACTTCCAGGCAGGGACAGCGGGTTTGTATAATTTTTGTTGGTGCCCCATTAGCCCCACCCCCTGACCTCCGTTAACCACATCCCCTGACCCCCATTAACCAGGCAACACGCTCGGGCAAGATGAACACATGACCAGAAGTAAAAGGTATCATGTCCCCACCAAATCCCCCTCATGCAACTACCCTGCAGTTGCAATAACCCAATGCAGTTGCAGCAGAGAGGCTGGGGGAAGTGTTCCCACTAAGGCTATGTCTACACTCAAGGCTTCTTGTGCACGTACAGCCGTTCTTGCGCAAGAACCCACAGAGTATCCACCCTACCCGCCTGCTCTTATGCAAGAGCATTTACAGTATGGCGTGGCAAGAAAAGGCATCTTAAACTACCCTGCAGTTGCATTAACCCAATGCAGTTGCAGCAGAGAGGCTGGGGGAAGTGTTCCCACTAAGGCTATGTCTACACTCAAGGCTTCTTGTGCACGTACAGCCGTTCTTGCGCAAGAACCCACAGAGTATCCACCCTACCCGCCTGCTCTTATGCAAGAGCATTTACAGTATGGCGTGGCAAGAAAAGGCATCTTATGCAAGAGCTGTGCTCTTTTCTAATAGGTGTAAGCTCTCTTGCGCAAGAGGGCAGTGTGGATGCTCGGCAGGGATTTCTTGAGCAAGAAACCCCTATGGCTAAAATGGCCATTGGAGCTTTCTTGCGCAAGAGAGTGTCCACAATGCCATGGATGCTCTTGTGCAAAAGCACAGCTCACACATGGCAGTGTGGATGTGTTCTTGCACAAGACTTCTTGCATGAGAACCCTTGCGCAATGTTCTTGAGCAAGAAGCTGCCAGT